GAGTGCTGTCACATCGAGGGGATTGCAACTAACGTCAGGAAGCAAAATGTGTATAAACTGTTGAATGGGAAACTAATTTGCTCTGTAAACTTTCACCCAAACCACAATGAAATGTTCAAAAGAAAGTCACCTCGATTTGCAAATCATATGTTTAATAAACTTCTATCAATTTCTATTAATGATTTAATATGATTTTTATTCTAACAAGCTTGATGAGGAAGAACAACTTAGACAAAGAATTAAGAAACCTGAGCGCTATGAAAGATTAGATAGGAACCTTGGGGGGCAATGAGTTTATGTTAATGGGGGAGGAACAACTCAGAAAGGAAGGGTGAGAATGGTGGTACAACTTGAAGAATGACATCAGTGACACTGAATTATACATGTGAAAACTTGAATTGGCATATGTTTTGCTGTGTATATTCTCAACAACAACAAAAAACTAAAAAAATTATATTAAAAATGGCTTTCTCTGAGATTGTTGACACTAACATGGTAAGAATGCAAATTGTTTAGTGCTCTGTTTTAGACATCATGGGGAGTAAAGAAGGAGGACTGGATAAGTTAATCCTTATTCTAGTGGGAGAGAATGATGTGTAGACAGCTGATACAAGGGTACCGGCATCCCATGGTTATTGGGTACATTAAATTAGTGATTCCATTGTAAATCACTTGGTCTAGTGCTTAGCACATCATAAATGCTTGACAAATGTTAGCTTTTAATAGAAAATTTATTGTTATAAAATTAGTAGAAAAATACTAAACTTAAAACTTTGTAATTATTATTGTTACAACTTTTAACTTGACTTTGATACCATTCTTCCCAACATTTTATCTTTTTCTGACTCTATTGTAAGTTGTTGATCCTCAAGTCTCCTCTCTTCCTGCTTTGCCTTTTTTCCATCATTCCCTAGTTCAATGAGTGTCACCACCTTTTACTGAAATTCAGTACAGTATAACTCTATAAATAATCTCTTGGATCTCTTGGGGAGGAAAGTGGCATGATCCATCCTGTGTTTTAGAAAGCTAGTAAGTGTGTTACCACTATGAAATATAGCTTAGAAAAGCTTAAGATGCCTGAATAAGGACATTGTAGTGGGACTAGAGAGAGGATGAAGGCAAGCGATTTTTGTAGGAGTGATCAGTGAAACTTTGCCATTGATTGTATGTGAAGAAGAAACCAAGAATTGAAGACCCTGAGATTTCTAGCTTCAGAATCTTGCTATTAATAATTAATACAGAAATTCATTATTAGATGCAAGGCAGTGAGTTGAGTTTTAGACAGGTTAACTTTAGGTTGCTAGTATGGCAGTGTCAGGCTATCAGTTTACTTGTTAGAGTTTCCTCCCTCCCCTCTCTCCCTTTCTCTCTCGCTGTCTTTCAGTTCCGGTTATTAGTCTGAAAACTTCCCTTTAGGAAAAGTAATTTCTTTTTGGTCATAATCAATAGTAGAGATTGAAATGTGTGGAGAACAATTCCTTGTTTCCTATCCACATTCTGATTATCCTCCACTTTGGTCCCTTTTCCCCAATGAAAAGGGTTACTTAGAATAATTTTACCATCGTCATTATTGCTGCCCTACCTCTAGGATATTGGTAGATTTGTTTTTATATTTTTACATGAAATAAGTGAGGTAAGTTGGCAGAGCGCTTTGAATAAAAACAAAGTTTTACGAAGTGTTTGTGATTAAAATATTAATCAGTGAGTAGAGTATTACCTCATTCATCTAGTATCATTGGATAATAAGTATTCTACGTAAGATAATTTTCTAAACAGTTGAAGCTTATGCATTTAAGCTTCACGTCTATCTCTTTGTAATGTTTTGTATGATTTGTGCCTTCTGAAATAGAGAACCCCAAACATACTTACCCTTTTCTGCAAGATAGAAACAGCTCCTTGTTTCAGAGCTTCAGAATGAGAGTCCTAGATTCTAGTCCAAGTTCTGACACTGAATAATAGTTACTGTTAGAGATATTTTATTGTTTTCAGCATTGAATCTGTAGAGCATAGAACAGTGCCTGGCGCATAGTAGGTACTTAGTAAATATTTTTGGCATGAATCATTGTTTTTATGCCTACTATAGCACTCCTTTTCGGATTTATTACTTGTAATTCATTGCTGGCTAGTAATCAGCTCCCAAAGTTTGAATATAATAGGATTATCTAGACTCACACTGAGGTGAACTATGAGCTTGATTTATAATATCTGTTTTGGCTGCTTAGTGGCATTTCTGTCCTTCTCTTTAAATACTTCCTGGTGCTTAAAGTTGCCAGACAATCTTACAGTACGTGATTTAGTAAGTTGTTGTTATTAGGTGCCGTCAGGTCGGTTCCGACTCATAGTGACCCTTTGTGTAACAGAATGAAATGTTGCCTGGTCCTGCGCCATCCTCACAATAAGTAGGTATGTTTGAACCCATTGTTGCAGCCACTTTGTCAGTCCATCTTGTTGAGAGTCTTCCTCTTTTTTTTACTGACCATCTACTGTACCAAGCATGATGTTCTTCTCCAGGGATTGGTCCCTCCTGAGAACCGCTGTGAGTTGGACTCGATGGCAGTGGGTTCGGAAACCCTGGTGGTGTAGTGGTTAAGAACTGCGGCTGCTAACCAAAAGGTCAGCAGTTCAAATCCACCAGGCGCTCCCAACTCTATGGAACAGAGAGTTGGGAGCGCCTGGTGGATTTGAACTGCTGACCTTTTGGTTAGCAGCCATAGTTCTCCTCTGTGCCATAGGGTCGCTATGAGTCGGAATCAACTCGATGGCAATGGGTTTGTTTTTTTTTTTGTTGAGAATAGTTTCTTTATTGAGCACACTTTGTCCCTATGTTGTCTATACGCAGTGTCCTATATGCAAGCATTTAGCCCACATCCCCAGGGATCTTATAACTTAAATGAAGAGACATACAAGTGGAACTATAAGAAAACAAATGTTGGATCATAAAGCATTGACCCACATATACATTAGGAGTTCTAGAAATAGATCTGTGTGGCTTCAAGGAGATAAAACCTGAATTGGTTTTGAAAAGCATTGAGGTGGAGAAGTAAGATTCTAAGCAAGGACAGTAACAAAGTAAGGAAAGAAAGTGGGTCAAACATGTTCAGACAAGCCTGACTGGATTCCTGTGGGTGCAGGGAGTAGTGGGCAATAAAAGTAGACAGAATTTAACCTAAGGCCCGCTACCCTGAAGGGATCTGAGGATGGAATTCAGAAGGGTCTGTGTGTTTGGATGAGAAAGATATTACTTCTTTATTTTCACTAACTTCTTACTGAAATTTAGCGTTTCCTTCCATTATGATTTTAAGCAGTAAGCCACAGTAGTAGTAGCAGTACCTGTGACTTTGTTGTTGTTAGGTGCCATAGAGTCACGTCCGACTCATAGCGACCTTGTGTTCAACAGAACGAAACACTGCCTGGTCCCGTCCCATCCTTACGGTTACTACTGTGTTTGAGTCCATTGTTGCAGCCACTGTGTGATTTTGTTACTAGTAGAAAAATCACAGATTTTTCATATTATACTACAGTTATGGATAGCTGTATGATTATACATATTGCTACTTCAAAAATATGGTTGTTATTAGACTACCCTACTAGGTTTTATTGTGTTAAATGTAACATTTTAATATATCACAAATAGAGGTTTTAAAAAAACATTTGGTAACTTTATTTCAGTATAACTAGTTTCCTTTGTAATCCTATATATTTATATTTTATGCATTTAAAACCATTGTGAAGGAATCTGTAGCTTTCTCCAGAGTGTAACTTTCACTGTGACAGCAAAAAAAAAAGGGGGGGGGAGGCTAAGAACCTGGATCTAGTGAGGAAGCAAATTGAACAAGGCCTTGAAAACCCCACTGAAGAGTTTTTTAGTTGAGGTAATAATCAGGAGAGGATCCTAGTAGCTTCTGTTTGTTTTGTTTTAATTACAGAATAAGTATAAATTAATTTAGGAAGTCTTTAAATTTCAGTAGGTTACAAAAAGGGAGGAGCTCTTAGCTCACAACTATAGATAAACTAAGGTTTAAAAAGGTAACAAAAACTCATCTATAATCCTACAACTATTGCTTTTAACTTTTTAATATGTATCTGTGCCAGTTTTACTAAGTTCTTACACAAAGGAGTGAAATATTTAAGGTGATTATATAAGAACATTTCCTAATCTGTTGTGCTGTATTTAATGGCTTGGAGTGGAACACCTTGGTAGCAGTGAGTTAAAGCAGTGGGTCTAGCAATTTAAATGTTGGATCATCAGGTATAGCATGGTAGCATAGGGATGGAGTTGTTGTTAGTTGCTGTCAAGTTGATTCTGATTTAGCAGATAATATTGGAGCCATTATTCCCTGTCCTAAAATGTGACCCAGCTGGAGCTGGACTCACAAGGACACATCAGCTGGGCCCTGAGGTATAAAGACAATAGTTAGGATAATCTTGGAAAACATCTTTTAGGGAAACTTTCACATAAACAAATCATAAAACACAGCACAAAAGATCCACATACCTTGCACTCTTATCTTTTTTATTAGCATTTAGTGAATAGTAAGATTTGTTGGACCAATGAGGACCCTCCTCACTGATGTTACTGAACTTGTACCAGTGATTGTTAAGAAAGACAATTCAAAAATAGAATTATGGAGATTTAACAGTTTGTAGCCAGTCTCTGAAAAGGTGAAGCTTTCAGTGGTTTTGCTTATTGGTAATGTTAATATATACTGATGATTCTGTAACGCTCCTTGGAGTTCAGCAGACATGGCTCTAACAGCATGCTTGTCTGTTTTCCCATTCTTGCCTATTCTGTAATATTCCTTGGACTCGGACAGACATGACTGTGGCAGCATGCTTGTCCATTTTCCAACTTTTGCCTCTTTGAATGTATGCCAAGTAAAGCTTTCTTTTTGCTTTACTGAACTTTGTGGTGTTTTTACCCTACAGCAATTCCTATTCATGGTAACCCCATGTGTGCAGAGTAGAATTGCTCCATAGGGCTTTCAAGGCCATGACCTTTCAGAAGCAAATAACCAGGCCTGTCTTCCAAGGCACCTCAGGTGGATTCAGACCACTGTCTTTTTGGCTAGTAGTTGCACACTTAACCATTTGCACCACCCAGGGACTCCTGGGGATGAAATAGAATTGGCAGTTCCAAGAGGTATTTGGAAAGAAGAAATTCTAAGACTTGCTGATAAATAATGGGGACTGAAATGCTTGAAGTGTTGTAGTGGAGAGTATCAGGAAGAAAGTAAGGATAAGGATAGGGTGCCTAAATTAGGGTTCTTGGAATAATATTTTACAGGCCCAAATCCCTTATCTAAAACCCTAGGACCAGGTGTATTTTGAAATTCAAAAATTTTTGAGTTATAGAAAGGTAACATGATTTTATGTATATAATATCCCCAGCAAGGTCTGAGGCATCATCCTGTAATTAAAAACACTAATATTTCTACAGTGAAATGTGGAAGTAATCACAGTAAGTAGGCTAAATAAAGCCTATAAATAGCCTCACATCAGTTCAAGTTAGATTTTTGTCACCAGATGAGTTTTGACGTGAAACTTCATAAAAAAAATCTTTTCAGAACTTTGTAGACTTCAGAACTATGGAAGTGACCATGGAGTATGTACTGACTGGAACATCCAGTGAGGAGAGTCTTAGGAAATGAATGAGATTAGAAGGAGTTGGGAAAGGTCAAGGCAAGGGAAGAGTTAAGGTAACTTCAATTTTCAGGCTGAAGAGAGTGTTGCTACTTGTGACAGAAATGGAGAAGTTGAGGGAGGCTAGTTTAAGGAAGAGTTTAATTTTAAACATAAGCACTTTTAAGAGGAAAAGACCTCTTTTGCTTCACATGAGACTCCCTCTTATTTTTCATGTGTTCTGTATCATAGTTAAATCAGCTTAAAAAAAATTCCAAAAGCTTGAAGTGTTGGAGGGAAAATTTTCCTTTTAAAATGAGCTCTTAATTTTCAGCAATTATTAAGGAACCTGCAGACTCTGAAGTTGAGATCTTAAAGTACATGTAGGTTGCGAGTGGATGGAAAGGTATTCCTAGATAAATGAGAGTTGTGGCACTACTTACTGAAACAAAATATATTTGTATATCATAAACCTTACTCATATGCTTATAAATACATTTAGAAGTAGTAATCGTTGCAGCAGCAGTGGTAGCTAACATGTTAGCAGTAGTTACTAATGTGTTTTGAATGCTTACCATGTGCCAAGGCACTGTTCTAAGTGCTTTACAAAAGGCCATGTAGACTAGGTCATGACACCAACCCAGGTGGGAAGTGTTAGCATAGGCAATGGTGTGATTTTGAGTCCCAGTTCACTTTGATAATCTAGAATAGAGATAATTAATGGATGAATATATAAGATTGAGTAGGTTTTGACCTTATTGCCATTCTGTGATTTTTTTTTCATCCACTGTGATAAATGGACTCATACATTGATATTGTCATATAAGTAAAATCTCTGAGAAATAGGGGCAAATCTTTAACAAAAATGGAGCAAGGCCCAATAATTACTCTAAAATTTGTTTACTTTATAATTACTGTATATAAAGGTATGCATTTGTTAGTTTTATGAGTTGTAAGTAATATAGAGACAAGCTTTGTCTTTATTAATTAAACTTTTATTCAAATTCTGCTACTGACTTGTATGGTTTGAACTTTTAAGTTTTTCTTTTATTAAATAAGGACCTATTGGCTTGGATAATCTGTAAGGGTCCTTTCAACATCAGATTCTCATTCTGCGTGTTTAGGTTTCATCGAATAGAATTTAAAGTTTAAACTACAACTTAAAGGAGATTCTCCTTAGATTATGCTGTAAATGTAGATAAGATGCCAGAGGAACAAGTGAAAGAATGAATGTCGTAACTTTGCACCTACACCATTTGACAGACATTATTAAAGAGAAACTTAGAAATAAGGGACCTAGGGAACTAGAAGAGTGCACAGTGTCAACCAGAAAATGAGTTTTCAAGGGAGAAGGATCAGCAATGTCAAGCTAGTACAATATAGAAGAAGGAACCCTGGACCCAGAACTTAGAAGGCCATGAATACATGTCTGGCCCTAACACTCTTGCTGATCGGAGTTTTGATAATTAATAAATTACTTAGTCATCTGAACCTTGCAAAATGGTAGTAATAACTATCTAGCCTTCCTCTGTGGTTTTTCGTGAGAATCAAATGAAGTGATGAGTTAGAAAGTACCTAGTAAAACTTAAAATATTTTATGAACTTAAGTTATTACAAAAAGGATGGATGAGGACCTGAAGAGGTTATTGGATTTAGTGGTTTGAATAAAACTATTATCAAGGAAGGTGCCTTGAAGGCAGAATAAAACAGAATTGGGGGCATAGTGTAACTACTCGGTAGAGGTTTGGCAAGGCATGAATGGTAAGAGAGAGATGGCCTAGCATAGCATGTTCCTTACATTGCTATTGAAGTTTTTTGTATACAGAAACTGTATGTTTTAGTTCAGTATGCAGTTTTTTGGTTGTGTTTCCTACTAGACTGAGAGTAGGTAGAGGGGAAGAACTGCAACTCATTCTCTTTTCCTCAGTGCCTTGAATAAAGTAATACTTTTTAATAAATAACTTTAAACAAATAACTTGCTGAGTGATTCTTAGGACTTAATTGGTAAGGAAAAATTTTGTGGTACACGTGTGTACATGAATGTGTGTTTCAGGTGGGTAAGACTTAAGCCTATTTATAAGCTAGAGAGAGGTTGAAAAGAAAGGAAGATGGTTTGCTCAAGGAAATATGAAAGGAGAGAAGGGGATAGGATCTGGAACCACAAATGAAAATGCTAATCTTACCAGTAAGAGACTATTCCCTCCAAAAAGCACCAGACCCAGAAGGTTTTACCACTGAATTTTTTAAAACTTCAAGCACCAGATAACTTTCAGACCATAGGGATAAAAAGATAAATGCCCGATTATTTTTACAAAGCCATCATAACATGATAATAAAATATGAAAGAGTAAAAGAGACTGTAGACTATTTCACAGAAATTGGTGCAAAAAATGCTTAATCAAATTATCAAATGAAATCTAGCATTACATGAACGGAATAATACTGTGAGCAAGTAGGATTCATTCTAGGAATGTAATGATAGGTCAAATTAATTCATATTAGTAGGTAGTGGTGAGGTATTAATATCTCAAGAGATACCAAAAAGGAAAAAAAAAATTATTTCCAATAAGGATTAAAGATTATTTAGTAAAATAATAATTATATACCTAAGATTTTATATATCTCTGACTACAAGCCAGCATTTTGTTACTAGAAATGGTAAAATACCAGAATTCCTATTTTAGTATTTAGTAAAATACTGAATTCTTATGATAAGTCATGAAATCTAAAAAGATCTGGCCAAGCATTAGTGTTACATAATATTGTCTTGGAAATGCTGACTAATGCAGTTAGACCAAAAAAGAAAGAAAATAAGTGGTACAGTTATTGAAAAGGAGGAGACAAATCCATAATTATTTGTACCTGATATTGTATACCTGAAAAAGCCAAGTGAATCAACAGAAAAATTACTATGATTAATGAGATTTCAATATGATGGCTGGTTATAAAATAAAAACACAAAAATTAATGGCTTACATAAAGTGTTTTTGTTGATAGTCTTTAAATTGAAAGGCCTAGCCATTGGATTAGTGAATAGGAACTTTTCTGCTTTCTGAGGACTACACTGACTGAATTTAATCTTATCAACTGAATTGAATCTTACTGTCTGTAAGTAAGTTGCAGTCCATTTTGAATAAGACACATTCCATGTTAACTTTTAAAAACTATTTTAAAATAAAGTTATGACAGTGAATACATTTGGAGTGACTATAAGGAATTTTTTTTTAATTTTTTGTGGCTTGTGATGCTTGTACTATTACTTCGCAGTGCCAGGGAAGGTGTAAGCTGATCCTTTAGCCATATTTGGTAAATAATAATTTTGTGTGGAATCCACTGTTCTATCAGTAAGAGGAAAATTATTCCCCAAATGTAAGGCTTTTTTTCCCCCCTTAAGATATTTCCTGACTTAGACCAAGTTATATCATGTATTGATTGCTGTTATGTTTTTTAATAAAACACTGTATTCCAGGTCTATAACCTTTTAACAACAGATGTGTTAACAGAGCGTTTTCCACTTTACTTGAGGGAAAAGAATTACACGCCTTCTTTACCACTAATTTTTTTTATATCCCAAGTGTAAACTGATTATATTTTTATCATCCGCTCATATATTTGCTTTGTAGCTCTTCTAAAAATCGATATTGATAAATTAGTTGTATCCCTTAGGATATGATGCAGTTATTTAAAACCTTCTAAAGCCTGTGACTCAACGGTTGATTTAGTTCATGTGAAAATTAGTATCAACTTAAGTATACCTACCTGTTTAGAAAAGAGCAATGTGTTTCATGCTTCAGTAATACAGGAAAATATTGAATACCTACTATGTGCCAGGCTGTTAGGTGTTTTATATACATTTGCTAATTAATTCTTAATGACAGTCTGGTGAGATGGATGGTGGAATCCCATTTTATAGATGGGAAGCTTCTGCAGAGAGTTTTAGTCTAAGGCCATACTGAAGGCAGATTTGAACCCAGGTCTGTCTCTCCCAGAACTCTTTCCCTGCTACCTGCCATCACAATCAGTGGAAATAAACATTTTTCCTAAAAACTGCTTTTACTTTATTTTGCTTTGTTGTATTGCTTGTTAATAGAATCACAGGGAGTGAAGTTCTTTAAATCCTTGCCTTCAGCTTTTTTTGTTTGTTTGTTTGGGCCTATTAAAATTCTCACATTGTCTGCCAGCATTTGATAGCTACAGAGAATTCTTTTTTTTTTTTTTTTTTTTTTTTTTTACTGCTGTGGATTAGTTTCTTAGCGAAACTCCTAAGGGTGCCGGCTTAGCAAGAATAAGGACAGCATTTCCAGGTCCTGGTAATCCTCTTAGTGTAACAGTCTGTCATCCTACCATTCTCTAACCTTTATAGTTGCAAGTGTGTGTTTAATATGAACCTCACAAATAAAAAAAAAATTGAATCTATTTTGGTAATGGAAAAAAGAATTTCCAGTGTGGTTAAGAAACACAGTTTATGAGTGTCCTTTGCCTCCCTCTTTAAAAAAACCAAGTATTTTTAAAAAATTGGAACTTGAAATTCAGCTCATTGCTTGGATGTATTTGAAGCATTTCTTCAGATACCCCCTGGGAGCTGAATCATAGAAAATAAGGGGAGCAGGTAGTAGAGGATTGGAAATGAGATGGTGAAAGTAAAGTGCAAAATGGCCTGAAAATGATGAGTTTATGATTCAGATTTTACCAGTAAACATGGATTTTGTTGTTTTTCTCTTTCTGTTACAGTTATTCTATGACTCTATATTGGATAGCTTGTTATTAAAAGCCATTACGGACTTCATAAAAGCTACAGTTTCGATTTCTAGAATTGGGAGTCCAGAATAAAATGGGGTAGATTAAGAGAATGACTTAACTAGCTAATGTAAATAGCATTCTCTGGTTACTTGATCAACCCTTTTCCCACTTCAGAATATTTTATGTGAGAGACTTTGGGGACTGCCTCACTGCTGTTAGATCTCATAATGTTATCTAGTGAAGTTTCTTGTTCTGCCTACCTGTAGTTTACTCTAGTTTCTCTTCTGCTTTCAAGGCTCCAGACCCAGTTCCTGGACCTGCCCTGGAAAAGAAGTATCCAGTAGAGATGAGCTCACTGCAGTTACTTAATTAAAAATTTGTAAGCTACAAAAATGGCAATGGGCCAACCAAGAACAGCTACAATTTGAATTTTTCTATTTCCAGGTATGCTAAAGTCCATGGCACCAGTCAAGCTTAGCCTGTGTAACTGCCTTACTATGAAATCCATAATAACCAAAACTTCACTTTCAAAACTTGTGGTCATCTTGCTTTAAAGCATAACAACAGCCCTAACAGCTAGGTAACATGCAGCTAGTATTGACTTTTAACACACCTTTTGCCTAAATATTTCTAATTTAACTTGTTTGCTAGTAGTAGCAAACTAATGCAGAACAGTTAGGAGAAATAAATTTTAAAGTGCTACTGAGTTAAATGATAGAAGAAGTACTCTGATCTTCTTTGAAAAGTAAACATAACCATGACAAAACTGTCTTTGTTTAAAAGGTCCACATACAGAACTGTGTAACTGGTATAGGAAATTAGATGGAGAAAATGAATTTTCCTTCCCGAGAACCTTAACCATTATTACACTACTGATGCTTTCACAGAAAGAGTGAATACATTCTTCAGTAATTGGAAGTTATTACTTTGGGTAAAACCAAATAATGTAGTATAGTACTTTTAACTGAAGAATTTAATCATATTTTAACTTTTTAAGTATATAGCTAATATTTGATAATTTATTGCTTTTTGATCAAAAGAAGCCAGACAAGAAAGTCTTAAGTAGTTGGAATTGTCCTGGAATGTAACAGCAAAACTAAAAACAGAGTTTTTCTAATGCCTTAGACCTTAACTAAAAGAAAACTCATGAATGCTTAGAGGACTGAGGTCAGCTAGCTTTTAAGGACATTTACTTTTTTTTTTTTTTCCAATTTGCTTAGTTTTAGAAACAGTCTATAAAATATGACTTTATTTACTAAACAGGTAGATAACCATACATATCTTTTATTTTAAAATTCAATTCAGATAAGTTAGAGATCACCCAAAATCAAGAAGAGGAATCTTATATCCCAATTGTAAATTTAGAAGATGATTCTATTATTTTATTCTTATATGCCCTCCTCCAAGGTTAATTCATATAATTTAATACCAGCCAATCTCACTAGCATTAGGTCACTGAATACTTCCCATGTTATTTGTTTGGTATTGAAAGGATTATCTCTCACTGAGTGTTGAATTAGGACTGGAAAAGGAAACTACTAGTAAAGTTATTATAGAATCATTACACACTTAGGTGAATTAAGGGGGAAATTAAAGAGGTAACTGCATATTTATTTGAAATCTTATTATTGCCAGTAGTGCTATTTGTAATGATGAATTTTTTCCTGTTATTGAGTGCAAACTGTGTAAAACACTGTGCAAGAAACAGGAGAGATGCAGAACTGAATAAAACCTTGCTTTCAGTGAACTTACAGACAAATAATATGAAAGTGTCAAAATATAGGTGTAAACAGTGTATTGAGAGTTCTACAGAGAATCAACTTCGTGGAGAAGGTAATATTTCTACTGAGCCTTGAAGGGTAGGTAGATTAGAGAGAGTGGCAAGAGGATTTCTAGGTTATGAGAATAAAGGTAGTTAATATGTTTTAGAAATTGTGAGCAGTCCAGTGTGCCTAGAGAATACAGTACAGAGGGATAGGATGGGAGATGTCGTACATGCTCTTGAATGTCAGATGAAGGGGTTAGAACTTAATTTAATGGGTAATGGGAATCCATTGAAGGTTCTTAACATTGGCACACATAAGTCCATAAGTTTTTTGAAAAGGTAACTGTGGCAGAGTGAGGGTCAAATTGATGGAGTTGGAGATTGGGCAGTACTAATACTTAATAAAGGACGACATTTATGGTTATATATCAGGTACGAGGTGAAGAGTTTTATCTGCAGTTTCTCATTTAATCTTCACTGTAGGAATGCTGTGAATGCATGTTAAGCATTTTAGCACAGGACCTGGCCCGTAGTGCCAAACCAGAATGGTTATACTGCAAGCTGAGAGAAAACAGTATGTCTTGTCTACCTTTGTGTATGATAATTTTCTGTGAGGATATTGTGTTTAGAGGGACTCTTAAGCTTAAGATATTAACAATAAACTTCTTTTTCTCCTACCCCCTACCTCTTTCTTATAAACACACCACTTCATTGGTGGGTGATTATTGCTTTGAGGGCTTGTGTATTAATTCACCTTGAGTTAGCCTTTGGATGAAAAAAAGTGAACTGGCTTTTTTATTTTGACAGTGGATTATATGTAAACCCATAGGGAAAATTTTAATTAGAACATAACTGTGAGTCACATCTTTTAAATATCCTTATAATTGATAATTGCTACAGCTGTTAGTTATACATCAGTAACAGTTTCAGTGTAGATAAGATAGGTTTTGAGTTATTTGAAAGTACCTGTGGTTGGGTAGTTATCATTCTATTCTTCTGTCCACTATCAGAATGCAAGTAATGTTATAGGGAAGTGTGTAGGGAATAATTTTATAGGGAAAACGTAAATTCTGCTCAAATTACCTTTTAATTGTTTATGCTTAATTATACAAGTAATACATGAATATATGTTATAAAAAAATTAAAACATAACAGAGATGGCTAAATATCCTTTGACCACACTCTGTCCATGGGTCCCTCTGCCCAGCCCCCACCCCCAAATAATCCCTAGTGCATATACTTTCAAAACTATTGCTTTCCATTCATACAAACTTACCTGCTTAAAATCAATCGTGGTGTGGTTTTTTGTTTACACAAAAGGTATTATACATGGATTCTACGTCTTTTTTCAGTTAGTAATATTTGATATCAAACAATATCATTAATGTCACACGCAAGTAAAATTTTACTGAAGATCATTCAAAAATGGTTACAGCAGTACAACGACAAGGAACTGCCAGAAATTCAGGCCAGATTCAGAAGAGGACATGGAATGTAGGATATCATTGCTGATGCCAGATGGGTCTTGGCTAAAAGCAAAGAATATCAGAAGGATGTTTGCCTGTGTTTTATTGGCTATGCAGAGGCATTCGACTGTGTGGATCATAACAAGTTATGGATAACATTGAGAAAAATGGAAATTCCAGAACACTGAATTGTGCTCATGAGGGTCCTGTATGTAGACCAAGAAGCATTCAAGAGGATACTGTGTGGTTTAAAATCAGGAAAGGTGTGCGTCAGGGTTATATCCTTTCACCATACTTATTCAGTCTGTATGCTGAGCAAATAATGCAAGAAGCTTGGCTATCTGAGGAAGAATATGGTATCAGGATTGGAGGAAGATATTTAGATGACACAGCCTTGCTTGCTGAAAACAAAGAGGACTTGAAGCACTTACTGATGAAGATCAAAGACCACAACCTTCAGTGTGCATTACACTTTAAGATAAAGAAAACAAAAATCCTCACAACTGGACCAGTAAGCAACGTCATGATAAACGGAGAAAAGATTATAAGTTGTCAAGGATTTCATTTTACTTGGATCCATAATCAATGCCCATGGAAGCAGCAGTCAAGAAATCAGACGTCTTGCATCGGGCAAATCTGCTGCAAAAGACGTCTTAAAAGTGTTAAAAGCAAAGATGTCACTTAGAGGACTAAGGTGCCCCGACCCAAGCCATGATATTTTCATTCGCCTCATGTGCATGCAAAAGCTGGACAGTGAGTAAGGAAGACCGAAGAAGAACTGATGCCTTTAAATTATGGTGTTGGCAAAGAAGATTGAGTATATCATGGACTGCTAGAACAACAACAAATCTATATTCCTTGGAAGAAGTACAGCCAGAATGCTCCTTAGAAGGGAGGATGGCGAGACGTCGTCTCGTGTACTTTGGACGTCTTATCAGGAGGGACCAGTCTCTGGAGAAGGAAGGGTATCATGCTTGGTAAAGTGGAGTGTCAGTGAAAGAGAGGAAGACCTTCAGCGAGATAGAGTGGCACAGTGGCTGCACCTATGGACTCAAACATAGCAACGATTGTGAGGATGGCACAGGACCAGGCATTGTTTCATTCTAGTGTACATAGGGTCACTATAAGTGATGGCACTGAACAACAACTCAGTTGCATTTATGTGCTGATATGTTTGGCTTCTCCTACTAAAATGTAAATTTCTTGGGCATAGGTATCTGTGTTTTTATTAATTTTAATATTTTCAGCATCCATTATAGTATAGAACAAGTAGTAGGCAATCAACAAATGTTTATTGAGTAAGCAAAAAACAATAACAACAGAACATATATAATACTACAGTGAAACCAGTCAAGTGAATGCATATAATTTTGAAATTGCTGATTTTACTGATGATTAGTAGCTATTAAAGGTTTTAAGAAAATAGTAAATAATATCTGTTTACACTGTGTCTAACTCAATAAACTTCATTGCACACCCCAGTGGCAACACACCACACACACACACCACAGGTGGCCAGCTGTCCACTCTGGGGAAAAGATAGCTGAGGACCATAACGTTAGAAAGAAGTGGGCAGAGTTACATGAGGTGAACAGGAAAAACATGGAGCCAAGTAAGGAATTGAAACTGCATGGGAATTAGTTGGGGAACCTTCTCATAACTTTCTCTCAACTCTTATATTAAGATGCCATTTTAATACTTTTTACACTTCATTGAGTTAGTTGATTTATTATAAATGTTCATTTGATGTAGATGAAAACTGTTTTTTTTGAAGCACTTTCATTTTCTTTTCTCCTCTTCCTTTCCCTTTTACCATAAATAGAAGTTATTAATCCTGCTTAGCTCCTGTTTTCTTTTAAAGACATTTATGCACAGGATGGATTATCTACAATTACATGAAAAAAAAGCTTTGAAAGGTAACTTTCTTTCCATCTTAAAGCCTTAATGTATTAGAAAATAATAATGAGATGAATTGGAAAACAGGCTCAAGGTTTGTTGTTGCTAGTTGCCGTTGAGTCGACTGCGACTCACACAGGTAGTTAGTTACATAATATGTTTTGATGAAGTATAACCGTTCTGTCTCAGATTTATTAGACTTTTCCTGATCCTTAGAAAATGGTAGCACTCACCACAAAACCACAACACTGTACATAAATTGCCAAGTGGGGCTGACTTGCACATTCCTTTTGGAAGAACTTATAACTGGTAAGCCT